GTGACGCATAGACGGCGAGATATGGTTAGCAATCATCAGGCGCGTGCGGCGTGTAACAAAATCACGTTCACGTGAATGATGAAGACCGATACACATGGCGTTCGGGGAAGCCCGCCTTGGTAGATGACACAAGAGGGAAGAGACGACGATTCACCTCGAACCGCGTGCGCATCTGTACAAATAATAAATTACAGGTAGTCCCCGACTTACGATGGAGATGCGTTACGCCGACCACATCGTAAGTCGGACCATCGTAAGTCGGTGACTACTTGTACAATGGGTGCGTGAGGGAGGGGGAGGGGAGGGTGATGAGTGTTGTGGGGTGTTGATGGAAAGTGTGATGGGGGGGTGCTAGATTGGTGATGGGATGTGATGGCTGATGGCTTGTGCACGGTGTGATTGGTGTTTGGGGTTTGGCGTGTGATGGGTGACGGGTGGAGGATGCGCAGCGATGGGGAAGGGAAGGGAAGGCGTCTCAAACTGCTGGCTCACAGGCCACGGCTGAGACCCGTGAAGAAGGCCTTTGGAGTGGCCCGATGAGGGATACGGTCCCTTGAGAGATAAAGAGATAACTCAAGAGAGACACACGAGAGAGATGTAGACAAGATATAGATCGGTGAGATGCGAGCTAAGCAAGAGATGATAGAGATGTATAGAGAGATAAATAAAATGTTGAGATGAAAACGAGATAAACAAGAAGGTTATCCGAGGACCCAACAGCCCAATGGTAAATGTTTTTATTATGTGGCCCAGTGGTACATAGACTTGAAGAGCATTGGGTTCGGCAGTGTGTGTGTGGGGGGTGTGATAGGTGGTGTGCTGGGTGTGATGGGTGATGGAGAGTGTTGGTTTATTGAGAGTGATGGGTTACGGAAAGCGATGGGTGTGATGTATGGAACACCAATAGAAAATTAATCAGGGGAATTAATAAACCCAGTGAAAGTGATGCCATATTAGAGATTTGAAATCTGCCTCTAGAAGTTATAATCTGTAAAAAAAAAATTAGGACAAATTCACCAGCAGTACCCTGATGAAAAAAACGTTATTATTAAAACTTTAAAAAGAAACAATGATTACAATTAGAAAAGTTTTTCTTTGCAAATTCTTGATTATTTTTTTTCTCCCAGGTTCTAGAATTCTGGAGAGTTTAATCCTTTGGTCTGGCATGCCATTAAGCTAACCTCTCCCATTCACGCGGCACGTACCCCGCTCCTGGGATTAAGATTACTTTGGAAAATAACGACAGTAGTCGCTAATTATGGATTAATTAACGTTTTAGAAGTAACGTAACCCAATCCCGTTACATTTATCGTTATATGGTCATGTCATGGAATCAGATTACTTTCTACTTTCCCCCTCATTAGACAGCATGTACGTGTATCGTGAACCTCAAAGCGGCGGTTGAATTATCCTCATGAATTATCAGAACTTTTCCGTGACATGATAACTTTGCATTGAGGTCTCTACACTCACCTGAAATGCATTATTCAGGCGTGAGCTGCCTGAAAATGGATTGACGCTGCCTCTACATTTCACGTGGCCTGCCTGAAAATGTTCAGGCTAGAAGGTGGCAGGCAATAGCCGTTTCACAGCGCCGACTGCAAAACATTGAGAAGTCTGCCCGCAATGTTTTGAGATATCCCAGCAATTGCCTGACACGTGCTGTGAGTGGCTGTGTGTCCTCGTATTGTGACGTCATCATTTCCCCCCTTTAAAAATAATGTTTGCGATCAGTATCAAATTACGAATAATGGAAAACAAAAAAAAATCAACTGTTACAAGTAATCTTTTAAAAAATATATCACAGATGCATGCTAAATCAGAGCAAACTCCAAAAATAACTAGCATATGGTAAATTTAACACGTAGGCTTTCGCGACCAATGTTATTCATAATCAACGTTTTTGGGTTTAGATCGCGTTTATTTATAAATGTGTCGTAACCCTCCACCACCCGACACGGCCAATCAGTAAAAATGTGTCACGTTGACAAAGACAAATAGTTCACTGCTTTAGCCCGATGATGCTGGTTGCAATTACCAGCGAAACGTCGTACTCAAATTGTAAATGTTGTGGCTTCAACACACCGGTGGGCTAAAGCAGTGAACTATTTGTCTTTGTCAACGTGACACATTTTTACTGATTGGCCATGTCGGGTGGTGGAGGGTTACGACACATTTATAAATAAACGCGATCTAAACCCAAAAACGTTGATTATGAATATGGTAAATTAACATACATTTAAAAAGTATGCGCCTAGTAACAGCGATCTGATTATAACAATCTGATTTACACGCTACATAGGAACGAGACAATATTTCTGGCACCTTCCTGGGTAATCTAATTACAGGAGTAACACATCACTCCCCGACATCGCACCCACCAGAGATGCCACTCAGCGTCGGTGGTAGTGTGCATATTTCATCCCAGGTAGGGCCCCCCCCTAAAATCGAGGGCACTTCCCCCCACCCCACATCCCCACTTCCCAGAAACAGCTGCCCCCCTTAACAGGGCTCCTACAATAAAAAGCGATCAGCCGGCCACTCATCAAGAAAGTGCCTTGCGCTAGGTCAGGGGTCGGCAACCTACGGCACCGGAGCCGCATGCGGCTCTTTACGGGCTGCTTCTTGACGATGAGTACGTATGTACTCAGATGCATTGCGGCTCTTGAAATACTGAATTTTGTACCGAATTCGAAAGAAATGGCTCTTCTTGTTATTTTGGTTGCCGACCCCTGCGCTAGGTGAACAGATACCACGCACGTGCTCATCACTTTACAATTCACGTCCTATCGTTCATTAACAGCAGACAGTGTGTAGAATATCAACGTACGGTCTGCAGTGCGACACGCACCCCAAACCCCATTGTCTCCCCGTAGCTTACCCCCCCCCACTCCCTCCCTGGTCTCACGCCGCCGCTAACGCAATCTCACATCTTGCACCGGAGGCGCTCTTGTGAACACCAACGATGAATAGTGAGTGCAAAAAAAATGAACCCGTAAAGTTTTTCACTATAAATCCTTTATATGCGTGGCGGCTAGAGTCCTCTCGTTCTCTGGCTTGAGATGGCTGCCACTTATGGGTCAGATGATTGCCTGCCACCATTAAGCAATTGGTAATTAAATATAATTTTTTTTTTCTAAAAAGTGCAAAATTTAGGAATTTTTTTTCACGAAAATATATTGTCACGCACAACGAGTCTGTGTGCAAAATGTCAGCTCGATTGGATCACGGGAAGTGGGTTAAAAAACGACCGAAAGATGTGCACGGTCGTAAGCGCGCAAGCAAGCAAGCAAGTGAACTTAATATAAAGGATTTAAAAAAACTTGAAAACGGGGAGTCCATGGCAAAGTGGTGGACACGTGGAGTTCAGTTGGTGCGGTCCGTTGCTCTTGCCCCATTTATCTTTTCAAGTTGAAAACATATATTATCCATGATAGGTTTTCTATGGGGTTAGATCGCCAAAATATCAATGTGTCGTTAAACCTGCCACCACCCGACACGGCCAAATAGTAAGGTAAACTCACACCTCACATGGTGTGAGTTTACTCTCCAACACACCGGTGCGCTGAACTAGTAACGAATTGGCAAGGTTTGTTTACGAGACAATTTTTACTAATTGGATGTGTCGGGTGGTGGCGGGTTTAACGACACATTTACATGTATGCAATCTAACCCCAAAACCCCCCTCTATTATGGATAATATTGGCCGCGAAAGCCTACAACGTGTTAAACTGACTTACCTCTATAGGGAGGATACTTTTTTCAAACCATATATCTCAATTGTTCATTAGTTTCACCCCTCCAGTGATACATTGGATTGTCGTGATTCGGGGCCACGATTCCATTTAAGAATCAATCGTTTTTAGTTTCTCAAACTTTCCATCTAATTCGCATCGCTACTCGGTTTGTTCCGTCTCTTTTTGACAGTTGTGTTCAGTTTAGGAGCCCAAACGAATAACATTGACATATTATCTGCATATATATATTTATGAATCTAAAACATTGTTTCTAACACCCATCACGATTCAACGCATGTCTCTTGAGCCGCGCTACACCCACAGTAATTAGCTCCACGAGCCACCCCAACACCTAGGGTTGCCAATTCTTGAGGTTACAAAAAAACCTACATATCGTGAGAAGAAGCTTATCTCACAATACCACAAGAGGGGAGACTTTCGTAGACAGGAAACGCGATGGCTTGAGTGGTGTCAACTCTTGATTAGAAGCTTTCGTGACTGCATGATTTCATACTCTCAGCTTCTTTCGGTAAAGTCACGTAGATAGGAAACTAAATATATAATAGCTCACGACGTTTCGGTCGCAACAACAAGCGGTCGTCCTCAGGTGAAAGAGAGATTCGGCTAACAACAGTTAAGAACCTAAGAGTATGAAATCCTGCAGTCACGAAAGCTTGCTTCTAATCAAGATTGAACAGCATCTACGGGGAGGTTTTCCACACGACTCAGACATAATTTCAACCGAGAAAATGGATGCAAAATTTAGCAATCTTTGAAAGTGCTGGATCAACCAGGTAGGGTGTTCCAGGAAGACTGACAGATCTCCAAAGGCATCAGCTACTTCAACTGGGAGAACGACTCGGGAGGGGGGGGGGGAACCGGCACAGCAGAGGTCGCAAACGGGTTTTGATCCCGTTCCCTACCCGTACCCTACCCGAAATGATTGACAAACGGTTACTCACCAGTGACTCACGGCCTACCCGTACCCGGCCGCACCAGGGTCGCAAACGGGTACCCGTACCTGGCTGGGTACGGGTAGCCGGGTATCGGGTAGGGTACGGGTATCGGGTAGGGTACGGGTATCGGGTAGCCGGTTGCGACCTCTGCGGCACAGGTGGCAACCCCGCTACAACAACCTCGCCCCTTTAAACTTGTGCCCATCCTTTCATTGCCTGGCATTTACTGTGCCTCCTAGCGGCGGCGGTGACTCTGACCCCCCCCAACCCCACGCTCCTCACCCCCCCACCCCCCCCAATAAAAATTCAACTCCACCACACGAACCTCCTTCTCACGCTTTCTCCCCTGGCAGGATGGTCGTGGGGGGCGCCCCGCCGGGTCCGTAGTCGGCGGGGGGCGCCGAGGCGTTGCCTTCGTCGTCGTCGGCGTTCACCTGGTTCGACTTGCCCAGGTTCTTGATGATGTTGAGGTTGCTCCGAGCCGTCTCCAGGATGCTGTTCTCCAGGAGCCAGCCTTCGCACACCTCGTTCTGGTCCTGCACGCCCTCCTCGCTCGGCGGGGTGGCGTTCATCATCGACGTCTGCAGGTAGCGGACTCCCACGAGGACCGAGAGCTGCGCACGCGCCGGTGACAAACGAAGACAAAGATCCCCCGTGTAGCCTGTAACAGACTGTTGGGGCAAGTGCTGTTAAGCGAGTAGCACCGAATGCAGGCCGGCACTGTGGCACACGACGGGGTGGGTGGCCAGGACCACGCCCGGTCGCTTTTGTCTCCCTGGTGATGATGTTTACACACCGCAACAGGTACTCATTTGAGGCTGAGTCGACCTAGGGGAAGCCCAGGACAGGTGTTGGCCGTGAGCGGGAATCGAACTCGGGTCACCGGGTTCGTAGCACAGCGTAGCGCTAACCGCTTCACTTCCGCGCCGTGAGCGCGCACATGCACACAGAATGTGCACGGGTGAGCCCACTGGGTTTATCATCCATGCCTGCACACCTGGCATGATCACCTGGAATTCTCACCCGTGTGCACACGCGCTATCGTACAGGTGAGTCTACAGGTGAGTTTATTTTATATTATCATCATCATCACGATCCATGGGCAGATCGCTCCGTAGGTGTCCACTGGGTCTCTGTGGGTCTCTGTAGGTGTCTGTGTCTCTAGGAATATGGGTTTTTATGGGTCTCCATGAGTATGGGTCTCTATGGGTCTCTATGCGTTTTTTTCTTTTCTGCTGCTATAAATGTCCACACAACAACGATAACGATGATGATGATATCATCCACTTCGTCAAGCCAGGTCGCTCCTGAAAAAATTGCCACATAGCACCTCAGCGAGGCCCTAAAACTGTTCAAGTAAAATTAAAAAGTTGAATAGCTTTCGTTTTGTTGTTGTTGTTCATAATCAACGTTTTTGGGTTTAGATTGCGTTATTTATAATGTGTCGTAACCCTCCACCACACGGCCAATCAGTAAAAAAGTGTCACGTTGACAAAAGACAAATAGTTCACTGCTTTAGCCCACCGGTGTGTTGAAGCGTGAAACCATGGTGTGGGTGTACTCAAATTGTAAATGTTGTGGTTTCACGCTTCAACACACCGGCGGGCTAAAGCAGTGAACTATTTGTCTTTTGTCAACGTGACACTTTTTTACTGATTGGCCGTGTTGGGTAGTGGAGGGTTACGACACATTTATAAATAACGCGATCTAAACCCAAAAACGTTGATTATGAATAATATTGGTCGTGAAAGCCTGCTACGTGTTAAACTGTTGTTGTTGTTGTAGGATTTACCTCGAAGAGCCAGACGAGGACACCCACGGTGGCGATGGCGTGGACAAAGGCCGAGAAGTGCTCGAGCAGCGCGTCACGGCAGCCCCGCATCCACAGGTTGAGCTCCTCGGTCAGGTAGTCGTAGTTGTAGTGCGCCGAGTTGTTGGTGACGCTGTGCTGGATGCAGGGACGCGGCGAGCTGGGGTTGCAGCAGCTGAAGGGGACGCCATCCACCAGGTACTTGCCGTCCACGTTGCTCTTGAGGCGGCTGTCGGGGTGAGGGTGGGATGGGTGGGCGAGGGTCGGTCGGTCGGTCAGTCAGTCCGTAAATATAATCGGAATAAAAAAAACACAACGAAGGTGAGAGTTGTCATGCTACTCGTTATATTTTTTAGGTGTTTGTCTTTTTTTAACTCCCCTCACGCCAAAAAACAATCACCTGAGTGGCACATGGATCAACAATTTACCAAAAACCGGCAAAACGAATTTCCCAACGAACGGATTTGTTGTTGTTGAGAAAACGTGACCTGACCTGGACACAAGGTAAATTCCCTTAATGGAGTGATCATCATCATCAATATCACATGTTTATTTACGTATTTTATTTACGTATAAGTTCTTCTGCCATTAAGACAATAATCAAAAGTGGTACAAGGATGGGGTCCCCTGTTCTTAGTTTCAGTGGCAAGCTGATGCCAAAGCTAGTTGTCACTACTATATACAGTATTTTTTTAAAATTGAGACCTGAGTCACAAAACGAAATATTCCACAGAATATGTACGGCTTGTGCGAGGAGCTCACAGATCATGGGATGATCTGGCTGGACACATTCCCATTGGTGATCTCCTCTGGCTGTCGAGGATGCAGTGGCGAGGTCATGTAGCTCGCATGCCCGGCCACCACACGCTCAAGCGCCTTCTGAGTGGCTGCATGGAAGCAGCCGCATGGGCATGGCACGGACTCAGAAACGATATGAGCTGAAGCGATAACGGGAGGACCTGTAGCCGAGGCCAAAGACTGGAATCAGCGCTGTCTAGAGCTCTGCCTCTGTGGAGGAGATTCGTGAAATATGATACTGGGCAGCTGGAGGCAGTCACCCTCACCAACAGAGGAAGGTGGATCAGCTATGTTCACAACAATTAACAGAGTGCTGGGTGCCTAAAACGAAGTGAGCCAGCAACAGTGGGGAGTGCAGGTGGTGCATCTGTCGGTCATTCTCAGGAAGTTAACATCTAAAACCCTGTGCGTGTGCCAGGCTGGCCTAGCCTGGCACTCGTGCTGAAGCGACGTCTCTGCCACTTGGTGGTGAAAAGAGCAGCTGTGTGTGAGGTGTGTGGATGACGAGTGCGTGTGTGTTAGAGAGCTATACTCTTTGGTTTTTTCGGTAAAGTCACGTAGGTAAAAACTAAAATTTTTATTAAAATTAATAAAAAATAAAATAAAAATCACGACTTTTCGGAGGCAACACAAGCTTCGTCACAGCACGTTTGCTGTATCAAGTAAACTTTTTTTACTTGATACAGCAAGCGTGTTGTGACGGTTCCACCTGAAGACGGAAGCTTGTGTTGCCTCCGAAACGTCGTGATTTTTATTTAACTTTTGTTAATTTTAATTTATTTGTTATTTTTACCTACGTAAGAGTATGAATCCTTGCAGTCACGAAAGCTTCAAATCTAGAATGTTAGAGAGCTGTATGTGATATATCGGGTGGTGAGTGTTTAGGACGTGTGAGAGGCAGAGTGGTGTGTCTGTGAGGTTTGAGAGTGTGTGGGTTGTTCGATGTGTGTGAGTGTCTGTGGGTAAGATGTGTGCAGGTCAGGTGTGTGCATGTTTGAGCGTGAGGTGTGAGATGCGTATGTATGGATGTGCATGAGCTGTGTGTGTTGTACGTGGTGCATGTGTGCATTTCAATGTGAGGTTAATCTGTGAAGCATGTGCATGGGTATGTGGGAGATGTGTATGAGGTGTGTTATGTGATTGTTTATATATTTGAGCGTGTAAGGTTTTTGTGTGTGTGTGTATCGAGTGTGTCTCATCCCTGACCCTACCTTGAACATCAACTCTTTATACCCTGCCCATTCATACCAAAATGTACACTGAAAAGTCATAGATTCGAACACACGGATGGCGAATGTATGTTTAAATATACTGCCCTCTGACCCTGCCCTTGACTTAACCGGTGGTTTTACTATGCTTAGATATACTCGAATCCTGCCCTAGGATTATGGACTTGCTATCATTGACGTAGGGCCGTCAAAAAAACGGTGTCCAATCGGCTCATAACTCAGCGGTGGCAGGAAGCCCAGGGACTTGGATCAGACCGTCTTACGTCTCCACTACAAACCAGTTACACTCCTACATCGCCCCCACCCCCCTCTGCTCCCGTTCAATCAGACAGATCCCCTTAGATCAGGGCTTATTGGACTGCTGTGTGCCGGTGGTCGATTTGTCACGCGGATTTCGCACGGTGTTTTGGTTCTCATGCCACCCCTCGACTCGGGAGCTGCCACTACAAACACAACCCTCCACGCTGTCGAGGGGCTGCCCCCCGCGGTGGAACATGCAAAGGTGGAACGGAAAAGGCTGATCGGGTTCGAGGGCCTGTAAATCAACTGCTCGAGTGTTTTTAGAGTATCCTCCTCGTGTGATAGCTAATATAAGAGGTATTAGGGCTGTAAACGGGTTAGGTAAGCACCACCACGTGCTAATTTGCGCACAGGAGACCGCTCGGATGCATTTTAACCAGGAGAGGAACGCACTCGGGTCCACGGTTTACTTTGTGAAGGACTACACTACGCACATTCTGATATATTCTGCCCAAGTTGAATGTGGGGAATTGAATTAACGAATAGGAGGTGGCTGGGAGGATTAGGGTTCAGGGGTCAGAGCCCGGAGCGGTACATCGCTGAGATCCTGAGGTTCAAATCGGGGTTTCAGCCACCACCCGTGATTAACATTACTTCTCAAATCATATAAACAAGTTGTACTTCATTTGTCTAAATTAATTACAACTCTCAGAATTAAAGAGAAAAGATCAGGTTGACTGCCATACGATAAACATTTCTCTCCAACTCACGATATGACGGCGATATCACAATTGGCAAACGAATGTATAAGTCTATAAGGTGATTGGTCTTCTGAATCAATGTTTTGAGTAGCAGTGGTATGAGTAGCCAAACCTTGGACCAGTTTCACATTTTATGAACCCAGGTCACTGACATTGTAGGCGAAAACGAAATCCAGTTCAACACCGCTTCGCAAACAAAATTAAATGCAATGGTTCTCCATTATTACCTCGATTGATGATGGGGGGGGGGGGGGATGACTACTGTATTAGCGAGCACCTATTAAAGGCACACACGTACGCATGTGTGTCACAAGTCTACTTGGGGTCCTGTACGGACAAGTGGAAGGGGAAGCATTGGCAGAGATGAAGATGAAGACAAGAGAGAGAAACAGATACACATAGAGATTGAGAGATCTTCGAGGTATATGGCAAGGTAGTCCATTGCATCCCATGATGACTTCCATTACATCTTGTGGGTTATCTGATGGCTGTATGGTCCGATGCGTGATGCATACTGTCTGCCACAGGCAGAGCACACAAAGGCCCGTTCCATTGAGGCCAGTGAAGCCAATGTCGTATGTCTCCTCTGGTGCTTCGCCAGGTGACGTTCGGCCATTTTTTCCTCAGGCAACTGCACTCCTTGATAGCAGAGGCCGCGCCGCCAGGTGGAACGGTCAGCAGGAACAGCCTCAAGGGAGGCAGCGTCTATCCCACACTTTTAAAGTGAGGTCTTCAACTGATCCTTAAGCAGTCTTTTCGGGCCACCTGCAGAGCGACAGGCCAGTTTTAGCTGTCCGTACAGCATCTTTCGTGGTAGGCGGTCCTCCGGCATTGGGATGGCATGGCCGAGCCATCTCAGCTAGTGGTGTGTGATGTTCGCCTCAATGCTCCTGCAATCTGGTCTTTTGTAGGATCTCAGAGTGTGGAACACGGTCCTGCCAGGTCACTTTCCAAATGCGTTGGAGGCATATGATATGAAAGGACTCAAGTTGTTTTAGGCATCGGCTGTAAACTTTCCACATTTCACGATAAATAGAGGAGCGTAGAAACGCACACTGCCTGGTGTACTGTAACTTTGGTGTGTGGGTGGAGGTGACTGTTATTGAAAACCTTCCTCCTGAGTCGCCCAAAGGAGGATGAGGCCTGCTTGATCCGGTGCTGGATGTCCTAGTCGATGTTGCAGTATTTCGAGAGGATTCTTCCGAGGTTTTTAAAGTGTGGAACAATGGCAAGTGAGGAGTCTGAGATGAAGAATGCGGGTGGATCAGGTGGAGGCTCAGATGACCACTGACATAGGACTTCTGTTTTTGGGATATTAACAGACAGCCCTATTCTGCTGTATGCCCTCGCAGCTCCTGCGAAGTTGGCTTGTAGAGATTCTGGGGTACGTGCCACAAGAGCACAGTCATCCACATACTGGAGATCAAGTACACATTCAGATGAAAACTTTGTTGCCGCTTGGAGCCTACTGATGTTGAAAAGGTTCTCATCCAACCTGAAGTCCAGGGTCACCCCACTCTCCATTTCCATGTCCTTGTGCAGAAGTGTTGTGACACATAGGAGGGAGACATTGGATAGGACTGGCGCAATCACACAACCTTGCCTCACACCAGTGCCTACTCCATAGAGTTTAGACTCCTGACCTCCAACTCTTACTCTGGCTATCTTCCCCTCCTGGAACTCACGAAGGATGTTCACAAACTTCCTGGGGCAGCCATACTGCAGGAGGACCTTCCATAAAAGTGCACAGTGTACTGTGGCAAAGGCTTTGGAGAGGTCCACAAAGGCCATGAACAGGTCTTGCTTCTGTTCACGGCACTTTTCCTGCAGTTGGCGTGCAGTGAAGATCATGTCCACTGTGCTTGTTCTATCTGAAGCCGCACTGGGGCTCTGGTAGCAAGTTTTCAGTGATGATGTCAATGAGTCTACGCAGCATGACCTTCGCCAGGACTTTGCTAGCAACTGCAAGGAGGGATATGCCCCTGCTTTTATTGCAAGGTGAATTTGTCCCTCTTGTTTTTGTATATGGTGAGAATGTTTGCATCCCTCCATTGATGGGGGATGCTCTCTTGCCTCCATATCTCAGAGGTGAACAGGTGAACTGCTCTTGTGCAGATATAGCCCCCCTATTTCAGGATATCAGCAGGGATGGAATCGGTTCCAGGTGTCTTGTTGTTCTTCAGCAATCTGATGGCGGTGAA